GGTCTCAGAAACCACTTGGGGGTGTGATGGGCTGTGGGGAGGAGTGGAGGTGGCAGCAGTGTGTGTGTGTGATGGGGCTCATGGCTGTGAGAGAGCTTGGGGTAGGAGAGGCTGCCAGAACCAGGCTTAGAGCTCCCCTGCTCCATCCTAGAGCAGCCTGGCTTAGAAGGCCATGGGCTTGCCCCGCCTAGTCCCTGAGCCCCAGTTGAAGGCTTCCCAGGAATGGCATGGGGATTGCTGGGGCCTGGACTCAGGGAGCAGAACAGTAAGGGTTGGTACTGCTCAGAGCCACAAAGCAGCAGGTGGGACAGCTGCAGCTGGACTCCATGTCCTGATGCTAGCTAAGATGGAGCTGCTGCCAGGAGGGAGCTAGTGGGGGCAGGCAGGGGCTGTGGGTCAGGAATGAAGGACACTGGCAGGGCTATGGGTTGGGAGTGGGGGGCAGGGCACTGGCATCCCAGTGCTGCTCAGGACCCCACATCCTGGTGATTGAAGGGGTAGGGGCAGCTCCAGTTTTTCTGTGATAAAAATACCAAAAGCAAGCGCCAAAGTGTATAGATATTTAGAATTCATTTTAGGGTGATGGTAGTGGCACTGGTAGGCTTCATTTGCTTTAAATTGCTTTAAACTTGTAAATATAGCAATAAAACGTTGCTGAACTGATCTCTCTATATATAGTGGCGTTTCATTTTAATCGTGAAAGAACATGGATTTTGGGTATTTTAATTGGAGAACTTACAATTTTTAAATTGGGAACACCAGGGTCCCTGATGGTGAAACAGGTGGTGGGACCCAGTCAGAGGAGCCTGCCCAGGGCTAGCACCAGGGACCCAGCTGGAGGGCAGACAAGGTGGCTGACCTCCTGGCCATTTGGGGCCAGGAGGGACGTGCTTCGACTGTTCAAAGTGATGCACCACAAGGAGCACATCTTCTGGGTGATAGTTGTCCAGATGGCAGAATGGGGGCTCCGGAAGACATGACTGCAGTTCTGCCGGAAGGCCAACTGCGCAGCCACAGCCCATTGACAGCTGGCTCAGAGGTGCAAGCAGCTCTGCTGCAGTGCCTGTACCAGAGCCAAGGTGGCTGTGCAGTCGCTGTCTGGGTCTGGAAGGCATGCAGCCATGGGGCCTCGGGTCCAAGGGGCGGTTGCTTTTGTAGGTGGCAGCAGGTCACAGGTAGGCAGCAGCCCCCACTGCCAGACTGCTGCAGTGGGTAGAGGGTGCAGGGGTCACTCTAGGTTAGGGCTGCTTCAGCAGTCCAGCTGGCACCAGGGGCTAGTGTCCTTAGATACCATGTGGCCAGGCCTCAGAAGCTCCTAAGGGCAAGTAGTCCTGAGCTGCTCTCCAGGGCAGGATTTTATACTGCTTTGGCCAGCCCAGGTGCTGGCCTCAGCCTCTAGCTCCCCCTGGGTGAAGATCCAGGAGGAGCTGGCAGAGTCAGTTGCCCCAAGTGGCACAATTTGTCCCACACCAAATTGCATATGTTCAGACACCTGTGTTGAGGCACAAATCTCCTGCATAAATTTGTGCTGCTGCCGTTTGAGCTGCTGCAAATGCACATGCCTGGATGCGCACCTAGAGTCTTGAACACCTCTGTCTACCTGTCAGTTTTCCTATGGCATGTTCCTCTGTCATCCTGCTACTCAAAAGTATAGTTCAATAGTTTTTCTACCTATTTGTCTGTTAAGAGGTTTTATAAGACAGAAGCAGAAGGTAACCTGGATGACTGTAAGGAATGGCAATGTCTCTAATGTCCATAGGGACCACTGGAGCAAAAGCTTTATCACTATAAAAAAAAATGGAAGCCTATAACGATTCTGGCATTGTAGATCGTTGGTGACTGGTCCTGCACAGAGCAGTGATGGAGGAACTGATGACTTCCAGGTCATGTGGGGATCTCTCTCTGATCTGAAAGGGGCGGGAGGGAGGGTATCAGGGGGAGACTCTAAAAAACAAAAGAAACCAAAAAACCACAAAGAGTCTGACCACAAGCTTTGTTAAAAAAAGAAAAACTTGCAAGAGAAGAAAAAAAGTTTGATGGGGGGGGAGGGGTTAATCAAACTTTTTTTCTTCTCTTGCAAGTTTTTCTTTTTTTAACAAAGCCTGTGGTCAGCTAGAATCAAAATCTGTTGAGAAAATATTTCCTTAATGAGGAAAATAGGCATACATTTTCAGAGAGAGAAGAAATTTTATATAAGTTGTCAGAACTGCAACTGAAAATCTTAAATATGAAAGAATCTTAATAATTTCAAGCTTTGATTCATGTTTAATGGTAAAGATCATTGGGAACATAGTCTGTCTGGTGCAACTAAAGACTTGCAATGATGTCTGGTGCAACTAACAGACTCGCAATGATGCCTGAATGCAGTCGATTAGTGTTGTGGAACCCAGTCCTGTGTTGGGGTATGGGAACTTCTCTGGGAATGCAGCTAAGCATAGCGTGAAGTGAAATCTATTTTCTTGGCTTCTGTTTACTGGCTATTGTATCTTGTTTCTGTAAGTGTTGTTTCAACACTGTTCTTCTGTAATTTTATTTAGTCGCTTGTTTCATTGGTATTGTAATTTTCTTTAGTTTCTCATTAGAGTTGTGGAATGCAGAGTGGGTTTTGAGGGTGACTGGATATTCACGCAGAACATTTTGTTCACAGTTTAATTATTCTCTGTAATACATGTGTGGCATTCCTTCAGAAGTACAACCTAAATCTTTTGTTATGAAAGTAAAGCTGTACTGATACTTTATCTGTGAGTATAACACTTCCAGCCTGCTACTTTAACCCTTAAAAATGAAACGCAACCAATCAATCTTTCTAGTCTGCATGTAATTGCCTACAGCGAAAGTAAAGCTTTTGCTCAGTCTCTTACAGTAGAAATGAGTTAATATATTGGCAACAGAATAACCATCAGCAATCAGCCTTTAGCTGTTTACTAATGAACTCCCAGATGAATGAAAGATTTCAGAATTCGTGTTTTACTCCAGGCTGTACATGAACTTAACACTTCAGTTGTAGGAAGAAAAGCAACTTAGATGCCATACATATAAATACTAGTACCTCATATCTCAATAAATTGCAGGTCATGAAAACAGCAGGAGCTGTAGTGCAATTCCATATTTCAAAAACTAATAGGAGGCCTTAAGTTGAAATCAAGCAAAAGTTATTCTTATATGATACACCTTTGCATTTGAAAAAAAATCTTTATTTCATTCCTTATATTAAACATTTAAGAATTGTTTCAGGTTTTCTTTTTTTTCTCTTCCTTATCCTTATAGAATGTTTTTATTCACATAATATTTGGGGAGTTTTTTTTTTTTTTTAAGAGAGTTGGGAAACAGTAAGGAAGGGTAAATCCAAAATGGTACTGGCTTCTGTTATATTTATACAGTGCTTTAAGTATTTGGGGGTCATTCCTGCAGCCATATTCATCTTATTGATGGGACATGGAAGGAATGTATGTAAAGCTATTACTGCAGATGTGTAAGTGAGTACTCTAATTTTAAGTCATGTCCTCTGCCCTTAAGTGGCGATCCAAAACCTTGCAAAAGATTGTCTGACTCCAGGACATTCCCCACCGCTCCAGTTATTTCTGAAGCTCTGAAAGCCTCAGGATGGCAGTCACAAAGCAAATGATGGGGGTTGTAGAAAAACAATTGGATTAAGCATCTAGACTTGTTCACAGGTTCTACAGATCATCTCCCGGCTTTGTCCTGCCACACAAGATATGGATTGCACCGAAGTACTTCAGAACCGCACAAGGATACCTTACCTACCGTTGCCTGTTACACAAATGGAATGTAAAGGACAGTTTTGATAGGTGACAGAAGATATGGCCTCTCTAGTAAACTGCTGCCATTTAAGATTCTCCTCTGGAAGAACAGCCTTTATTTGTACTATGCCTGTAGAAGCCAGGAAGTAGATGATACTCTTGAATGCCAACCCCTAATGATGTTTTTCATTTTACCACACAAAAGGAAAGCCAAATCAATTGTCCAACTTGGCCAGTTATTTATCTTTGAAATAATAGGTTGAGTGTTTCTTTGGAATGGAAATATGAGTGATGAAATTCTCCTGCAGCATTTGTGTAGCTATGGCCTGGACACATAAAATGATTCATTAAAAATAATGACTTTTGTTTAAAAGTCAAATAGAAAAAGGTCTAAAAAACTGAACATAGTTTTCAGTTTTAGTAAATTACAGTGGTTCTGGCAATTATGACATAGGGTCACTCTTTTAGCATAAAGAATGGTTTGTTATAGGTAAGTTCCATTAACTCCTGTAAAAAGTGTGTGCAATTCCTGGTATACATTTTTTTTTAAAGCTAACTACTACTTCTAAAAAAATATATATACCCTAATAAAAAAAAAAAATGTTTCAGCTTTTTCTTTTTTCCAAGGTAGGCTACATAATAGATTTATAAAATATGGATGTTTTCACTCTAATGTCCAGTACTTAATGTCCTAATGAGAAAGTATTGTCAGAAAAGTACATAACGAAAATGTGTCACAAAAGGATAATAAAGTTATAGTACATAATAAAGTGTCACAAGTGCAGTAAAATAATATTATGTACTCTTGTGCACATAAATAGTTTAAAAAATGGGACTGTCAAGTTGTGACGTGGGAAGGGGTACACTGTCAAAGCAACGGAGGTTGACACTTGGTCATAATAAGGTAATTTTTAGAGTCAAAATACTGCGACCACAATGGGCTTGAATAATAGTTGTAGTGCTCTTTAGTTTGTCAATGTCAACTATTGTGGTTGTGGGGTGAGATCAACAGTAGCCAGAGGGAGAAAACAAGGGAAGGAGCAGAAATGTGTTGGTGAGGTTAGGGAAGCAGGAAGGGAGTGGAAGATGTGGACGCAGGAAGATGCTGAAGAAAGGCCTTTCAAGAGACTGAACATGGAAATTTATTTCTCTAGTTTAACTGCATGGTTAGCCAACAGAATGTAGTGAGCTGAGATTACTCACTTTTTCTTTACACAGGCAGGCTTGAAGACTTAACAAATGGTGTAACACTTAGTGAGGTTTTAAAACCTCTGTAATATAATCAAGTTTATCCATTTTCTCCCTGTGCTATTTGGCAATATTAACATAGTTGAAGAAAAAAATGAAACACTGAAACCTTGTGAAAAGAGGTTGCATGGAATATTTGTAATATCTTTTTGAATTGAGTAAAATTTGTTACATATAGGAGCATTTTGTTTAAATAGTTATAATTTATCTCTTGCTCTTGTCCTTTGTATCTGCAGGTTTCAGCAGACAAATGGTGGAGATTCTGAACAAGCATAATGTTCTGTTTAGCAGTTTTGATATTTTTTCTGATGAAGAAGTACGTCAAGGACTGAAAACATATTCCAGCTGGCCTACTTATCCTCAGTTGTACGTAGCTGGAGATCTCATAGGTGGACTGGATATTGTTAAGGTTAGGTCTGTCTGTCTGTCTATACACGTGCATGCACATACTTTTATATAGTGTGCATGTATGTACGTGTGTGTGTGTGTGTGTATAAAATATTATTAAATATAAAATTACATGCCAGTAGCACTTACGAGTAAAACACTTTCTAAATCTCAACATTTTCTGTTTCTTCCCCCCCCAGGAACTTGAGGCTTCTGGAGAACTGGACACAATTTTTCCCAAGTCACATAAATTGGAGGACAAGTATGATGCATTATGTCTATTTTAGCAGCATATAAGAAATTTTAGTTTTAGGGGTTGCATCCATATTCTTTATCTGAATCGCACCAAGAATTAGTTTTTAAAAAATCACGTAACGGAAGATCCTTTATAGAACTTAACACATTATAACTATGAAAGTGACTTTTTCCCAGATTTGAACTTTATTTGGTGTAGACTTGATTAATGATGTCACTAGAGAATGATTGTTGGCCCATTCTTCACTTTTTTTTGTCTTTCCTGTTGCCATTACATACTTAGTGATCTATTCTCGGTTTTCAGTCCATGAATTTGGCCTGGTGTTTAGAAGTCAATTGGACCATCTTAAGCCTTTCAGTTTGACACTGTTTAAGTTGGGCTGCACCACTGGGATGGGTAACCAGACAAATCATGTGCGCCAGATGTATGAAGAGTCTTTCTGTAATAGTAGGGACTAGCAAGTATCAGCAGTTTCCTTCTCCTTTTATAAGAACTGTGCAGTTAAGGCAATAGTGAGGATGCTGAATTTTAAAGGGTTACAAGGCAAATACTGAAGCGTAGATACCAGTCATGGTCTGAATCTAGTGACTGGGAATCCATAAAGCTGTGAAAATAACTGGTCCTCATCCTTGATGCATTGAACCACTTGACAACCACTGAATGCAACCGACCACAAGGTGTTAAGTTGCATAATTTAAACACAAAAGTTGTAGATGAGTGCATGTCCCTTGATTTGCTATGAGGTTTTTGCCTCTATATTTTTACTTAAGTCTTACAGTGTAGTAATTTTTTTATTTTTTTTTTGCAAACCTTATTTAGACTTGGGTGTTACTTTTGTTTTATTCACTGGGGATAACCATATTCCTACATGCAAAGGTCTGTCTCCTCGATGATTCATTTACCGTGCCAGGATTATAGCTTGTATTATTTTCTGTGTGAGAAGTAGTATGTGAAAATTATTGATAGGAAAATGCGCAGTACATTTGGGAAAACTAGATATAGTAAAATAGAATCAATGTGAAGCATTATGTTTTGGAGTGTATGCAGATAAACATGGTAAACCATTTTGTGACTCTAAGGATAGAAGTTATGGGCTTCTAAACATCCTTGAGAGTAAATAGACTTCCAGTTTCCATTTGGGGGGAAAAACAATTCCAGATAGCGGTCTACCTGGAACTAAGTTTATGTATCTTCTGGAAGAAGGGTTTAGCCTCCTCTGCTGAGACCTGAACCACTGGCTCCAAGGGTACTGAATATTTTGAAACCTGGTGTTTAGACTACTGAACCATTCCCTTCAGCAGAGCTGATGGTAATAAATAAAACCTTCTGAGTTATTTCCTTTAAGTCAGATTCAGTTTGTAAAAGATGATTTTTTTCTCTGTTTTTTTCCTCTTCAACTTGCCAGCCTGGATCATTTCTAATTTGTTTCATCCAGTTTGTGCATGACTTTCTGTAAATCAGGATTTGTTTAGATGGATGTCTCCCTAAACAAGTAGCGAAATCTTTTAAACCAGGATTTGAAATTTCCACTAATTCTGACAATAATGTAACATTTGTACAATTGTCTATTTACTGTATACGCTTGTCTTAGAGCTTGTCTTCAGAAAAGTAAAACTAGAAGTTTTAGAGCTAGTCCAATATGTAGTCTGACAACAAACATCGCTCATTTCACAGCAGTTGTTGTTGCCTGGTTTAATTTTCATCTTTCCATTGATGTCTCCCATATTCCCAGTTCTCCCTTGAAAACATAAGCCTGTTTTTGCAACAGTATAATTAAACTTGTTTTACGTTTTGCTCTCATGAATTTCTGAGCAATTGACATGTCTCTCCATGCTGTTCAATCCAGCAGGGATAGTTACTTCCACACAAAACGGTGGCAGTTTAGCTTTTTGACCTTACTAGTTTTTATTACTGTGATGTTACTATTTCTATAAAAGATAAGTTTTAACAAAGAATCTCTCCTTTCACTGGGCCTCTGATCTGTTCCTAACAGTGAAATGCTTCTCTTTACCTGGGAGGCTGTAGAAAAATGGCACTTCCCAAGTTAGATGAGTTGCACCTGGCAGGTCTTCTCACAGCAAGTGAACGGGTTCAGATTACTGTACCTTGATTTCCATGTAAACTGCCTAATCTTTCTGTGTTCTTTTCCCCCACTTTTCCCCATTGTTGAAATAATAGTTATTTTTGCAGTTTAGACTTTCAAACATGCAGGCTGTAAGCCAGCCAGAAAACTCTTTAGTGTTTCTGCCAAGAATGTAGACTTAAGGGACTAGATTTTCTAGTCCAAAGTCACTTTGTAAGTGTTTCCAAATAACCTTTTAAAGTGTATGAGCAGTAGAGAATCTGTCAGTGCAGTATAATTCTCCACTGACAAAGCTAAAACAGGAGGGTCTTTCACCTGCACCAGTTTTATTCCCAGGAACCCCCTGGTATATTGGGAAGGAGGAGCAAGCATTGCGAAAAGGGGGGCAGCCTTTTGCAGAGAAAAGCAACAGGGTGGAATTATGCTTGCAATCTCCCAATATGAAAAGATTTTTATGACAATGTGGTAAATCAGAGCTGCTCCCCTGATTTTTTTTTTTTTTTTTTTTTTTTTTTTAACTTAGACCATGGCTTTTTAGTTAAGGGTACAAAAGAAGAAGCTGTTTCCATGTGCTACTCTAGGGCTCCTGTCTCTGTTCTGTATTAATGGAGGATTCAGCCAAACAGGACTGCTGTTATCCCACATTTAAAATAAAGAAATGTAGAGTGTTTCCTACAATTTGATGGAGCGTATACTGGAAGGTCATAAAACATGATTCCTTACTTATCAGGTGTTTGTGGAATCTAATGTTCTGGATGTAATTAATCAAAATTTCTAATGGAGAGTTTTTGTAAAGAAGTGAAGAACCTAAAAAATTATGCAAAACATACTGTGAGGCTACCACAAATAATGAAATGTCATGTCTTAACCAGTATTTATCAAAGTTGCTTTTATGAAAAGTTCAGACTTCGGTGTCTGAAGAATTTGAACGACTAATTACTTGATTTTGAAGTTTTTTGAAAAATCATATATGTGAATGTCTGGGTATTACAGATATCTTTGATTTTTTTCCCCTCTTTTTAATTAATTGCATCTTGGTAACAGTTCAGTCTGGAAAAATAAATCATTGCTTTAAAAGTAATACGGTTTACAATGGCATATGAAGAAAATGAAATAAAATTCTACAAATGAATGTAGTTGTTTTAGAAGACTGCTTGAAATATACTTGGCAATCTATGAATTATCATCTCCCCATCTTTCATATATTTGTGTTTACTGACAATGTAGGACAAAAGTACAACTTAATAATTTAACTGATTGTTTCTCTATCATTCCCCCCTCTTCCACTCCCTTCTCCTTTAGACTTAAAGGCCTGATAAACAAGGCTCCTGTGATGCTATTTATGAAAGGCAACAAACAGGTAAGGATCTCAAAAGTGGCGTTGTAATTTCTTTATCTGTTCATATCTGCAACAAGGGAATAGTTAAACCTCTTTTTTTGGCTAATGAAATTTTAGCTATCTGTATCTTAATTGGTGCTTCTGTAAACCCTACAAAGCAATCCATATTTTACCTGAATGCTGTCAGTCCATCAGCAGGGCACTATGACATTCTGAAACCATTGTGACAGTAAAACTTTTGTTTATGTCCATTGGCTCAATCCACATTTATAGTCCTCAGCCAATTCTACCTGCTTGTCTTTTGGTTACTGTTACGGGTAGCATCAGTCTCACTTCTCTTACTGCTCTCCTTCTTTCATTGCTGCTTTATTTAGATTTCCACACTTGAGGCCTGCCCTTTGCTTGTTATCCCACGTGTTGATCTTAGGCACATCTTGTGGCATCTCCCTTTGTGTGCTATTCATTTTAATTTGTCTCTGTCTTCATTAAGCATATGTTCAGAACAGCTTAAAAAAATCTGCAGGATGTTTTTAAGACTAAAATATAGCACCACGTACCGTAAAATGATCCACTGTTTTCTTTTCCCATGTGTAGGATGTACTACACCTGGTGTCTCTTTAAGCTTCAATTAATTATCCTACAGACCGGAATAAGTATGATGATCTAAAAAAGACAACTGCTAACAATTAGGATTAAAATGACAGCAAATGACTGTAAATCAGAAGGTCGGCTTGTTTCTCAATGTGTTGCATATACAAACAAACTGGCCAAGGGATAAATTGCACTCTTTGTGAGCAGTGAGACAGGTGCAGCAGTGTGGGTGAAAACTGCTTCAAGTGCACTTAAATCAATTTTCATTGGGATGATGGATTCTAGGCAATGAACCCCCTCTGTTCTGTAATCTGAGTATGAGAGATGTTTGTTCACTATTTTTAGAGAGAAGGGGAAATAGGTGCTCTTCTCCCATTTCATTTTACTGTGCTCCCTGACTCTTTTGTATATTAATTGCATTATAAGCATCATATTAAGGGCTCTTTTGCTGATTTGCCATGATGGTGTTTGAGTCCTGGAGGAAGATATTGACTCTGTGACAGGGGTAATTTAGCTAGTTCCAGGAATATCATATAGTGGGTGGGATTATATCTGTTAGTTGGAAGTAGCTACTTCCTCCCTCACAGAAATGACTAGATTAACAGTCAATTTTGGGGGGAGTGCTTAGCATAAGATTCATAAAGTTGGAGGGTTTTTGTTTGTTGCCAATAGTAAAATCCCCAATAATTTTTTTTTGTTTTAATTGGGCTTCTTCGTAGCTTGGGCTTTTTTTGCATACTTGAGTAATAACCTGCACCCTAGCTGTAGTCAGTTTCCAACAACAGTACGGATGGCTGTGGAAAATATGTTCCCCATGGAATCCATCCAAGTGCCAGAACTGAAGAAATGGAAAATGTGATTTTTTTTTTTCCCCCCAGTGTTTTATACACTTTTCAGAAGTGAATGAAAAATTGTGTAGCGAAATTAAACCTGGGCCTAAAAATGGAAGTTTACTACTTAGCTGCTAAAAAGTGGAAGAGAAAGTATAGCACAGAGATAATGAGACATGAAGAGTGAAGGTTGTTTGTAAGCAATAAAAACGATTCCTAATTGGATTATGGGGGTGAGCATTGCCAAATTCGTTGTTTTAAGATTTTTTTCATTTGGAAATCCACAAAAATAGTGTTTTAATTGGAATATTTTCCCTCTTATTTTTAGGTGGCAAAATGTGGATTCAGCAAGCAAATTATAGAAATCCTAAATGGCACTGGGTATGTAGGCTACAGTTAAATCACCTTTTTTAAAATTTTAATTTAAAAAGTGAACTGTTTATGAATAGACTCACAAAAAGTTGGGAAAGACCAGACCCTGCTTCATAGGGGAGAATGGCTTGACTCTACCAAAAAAAACCCCAAAACCGAAGCATTTTATAGGCCTAAAAATAGAAGATTTTACCCTAAGAGAAAGGAGGTGGAGTTTGGTATGGTATCCACATATTATTAGCATAATATTAGCATTTTATGATGATTGGTAGAATAAACCACTAAATCAACTCAAAGGTCACTTTTCTGATCATATTAGTAAAATAATACTTTTTCTTGTTACTGCACATATTACATCCATGTTCTTTCTTAAGGCACCACAGTATTGAGAGCAATTACTAATTACTTCAAATCCATAATCATCCCTGGCTATTTAGGGCCATAACCACTATTTGGAAGGAAAAATAGCTAGCCTTTGATAATTCCAACTGTAATGGAATTTTATATTCCTTCCTAAATTTATTTAGCTACTAAATTAAATTTATGGTATATATTGCATTGAAATTTAAGTCATGAAAATAACTAATTGGTGTTGTTCTGCTCTAATTAGCACCAAGCACTATGAAATTTTTCCTCTTCTGATTCTCCTGTTTTTCCTCTGGTTATCAACCATAGAAATCCTTTCACTCTGATTAGCAGCTCTCTTAAAACTCCCTTTTGGCCCACAAAATATATGCTGACCTGAACATCTGATCTTGTCATGGCTAACCTCTGATTTTCCATCTTTCCCTGCAGTTCTTTGTCCAGTGCGGATGGTTTATAGAACTGGGGGTTCATCCCCACAGTAATCCTAGTTCAAAAGGAAACTTCATTTAAAATCTCCTTCTAGAACAGATGCTGAATGGTGTGTGTTTAGAGGGGGGTACAATCAAAGCAACTCTGCTTAGAGACCTGTGAACTAGCTCTGAGAACTGTTATCAAAATGGAGAGATTTGTATAATCAAAGCATAATTAAGAAATAGGCAGTCATTTATAAATCTTTGTCCTGTATAAGGGCTCCAAAGCCAGAATTTAAGAACTTGCTTACTGGCTGGTTATTAAGAAATAGTTTTATTCAGAGTACAAAGGATTATGTATTAAAAATAATCTGGATCAGTAATCTTGCCTGAGACTGTTTCATGCCTTCTTGGTGACAATGCTAAATGACCACGTAAAAATTAAAGAACCATTTATTTCTACAAGAATTATTATTAGTCTTTAAAATGTTGTATTTTCTTAAACTCTGTGGCTAGGGGCAGAAATTGCAGGCAAACCAGTCTGTACTACAGACCAGTAAAAGTGATTGGAAACCGGGTCAGATCAATAACACAACAGAAGTTCAGTGCATGTAAATTGTTTTCAAAATGGCCAAAACCAGTTTAAGATAGACTTGGATGAATGTAGTATCAGATTTAGGATTTAGGTTAAATTGGTTTATTGAACTTCTCTCTCACATCCTCGCCACATTCAAGTTAACTCACAGTCCCTCAGCATCCCAGGATGCTTTGCATCTCCCCTGCAAGCCCCACCTCCCTCTGCAAGGTGGGTGGGCTAGCCTTGGCCCAAGCTGTCTGGAGCAGGGTGTGCTCTGTTGCCCCCTGGCTTCTGGCCTTAGCTACTGCAGGCATGTAACTGCATTTCTGGAATCAAGAGTGAATGTTTGTTTATTCATTTATCGGTTCAATCTACACAGGTTAGACTAATGTGTGAAGATTAAATTGATTCAGCCTTGGGCTTTTTGACTGTCTGTACTTAGCCCAAATTAGTAAATGGTAGATATTGGATACTTGCTTTGTATACCCAAAGTGTCTAGATGGAACTTATACTGTAGTTATTCAGGGACTTTTGTGCAGCTTTACCTACTCAGTAGCTTTTCCATTAAATTGGGTGTTGTGTTGGTCACAGTAACTCTTAATTTTCAGATGTACAGCTATATTATGCTAACGTATGCAATTTCCTTTAAAATAATTAGCATTTTTCTTGAAATTACTAGCTAACGTTCTGGTGTCATTCACCTTACACTTAACTGGTTGGGTTGTTTTACATTCTTTTTCTTACTGACTATAAATAAAAATACTCTCTGATCAGGGAGTTAGCAAGTTATGTGAAAACAAATACGTTGGTTACTTCTTTGACAGTCTTATGTAGGAAAAACTGCATGAATCATTCTGCTTTTTCTTTGTAGTGTTGATTTTGAGACATTTGACATACTGGAAGATGAAGAGGTAAATGTGAGGGTTTTTTTTCCTTCCTACATTGTAGATTATTTCTGTTACACTAGTAAAGTTGTAACGGAGAGGCTTAAAATTAAGCTTGTTTTCCTTAGGTACGGCAAGGATTAAAAACCTATTCAAAGTGGCCAACATATCCTCAACTGTATGTGAAAGGTGAACTTGTTGGAGGGTTGGATATTGTTAAGGTAAGGGACAAAAAATGCTGTTTAACATGTAAATCAACTGTTATAATCTGAGAGAGAAAATATTTTTATAACTAAAATATACATAAACACCCATGTAATGGCCCTAGATTTTGAAATAGAATGACTTGGTTGGTTTTACTATGACTTTCATTATTTCAACGTATGGTTGAAAGGAGCTTTAAATCTCTAGCACTCGCACAGACTCTGATGTAGCAGTGAAATGTATTTTCTTGACAGCAGTCAGTTACCTTTACTGTAAAGACCATTTTTACCCCGTGGGTGCATTTTTACAGGTTTCATTTGCTTCTTAGTTTTACTTCTGACATTGCTTTTCTCAAATAAGGTAGGTGAGACATTTTTTCCTAGCAAACTGTCTCATTCCCGAAAGAAAAAAAAAGGCAAGGTTTATTGTAGTATTTTGAACAGACCCTGAAGCAACAAAAATAGATCTGCATTTGTTACTATGGTTTTTGATTTTTGTAACAGAGCAGGCACAGTGTTCTAAACCCCAAATACTCTTGAGCCTATTCTTGTCTGAATGTTTTATAGCCAATTCCATAGGCATTGTAACTCCTGGGAAGATATAGTCAATAAATCTCATTTAGTTCTAAAAATAAGTTGGTATTACTTAAATTGTATAGATGATTTAAAAAAATATTTACTTAACAGGTGTGTCACAATTATAGGTTATCTCTTACAGTAATCAATAAGTATAGTTTTGGGCATTGAAAATAAGTTGCAGTATATTATATTTATCTATAAGTTTGGGGAAGTGGGGTGGGGAAATTTGGAAGAGTGCAACTGTCATCAGCCTTGTTGGACTGAGCATTTACTCAGCTGATTTCGGTGGTGCATTCTGCTGGTACATAGGCATTACACATCTTAGAGAGTACATTGTTATGTAAAATCACACATGAAACACACAAAACAATATTAGAAATAAGATAAAATTCTGAATATTCAAATTGCTGTTTTTATATAGTTTAAACATATGTTTATAGATTTAAATAATATTTCACATTAACTTAAATCAATTGAGTGCTTTATAATTTAAACTAAATTTTATTCTATCTGAAGTAATGCATGCACGTATTCCTAATTTCTTTGTATCAGTCTCTTGTATCACTTAATTGAATATGGCTTGGTAACAGATTGTTGTTGAGTGACCCTTTTTTAACCTGTTGTAAAATGTTGCAAATGTAGACCAAAATACATTTTGAATGACCTGTGCAAAAAATAACCTTCCTTTAAAATTCATTTGCATACTCATTTTCTGGGTCTTTTTCTACGTAAAAGTTGTTTTTGTTTGTTGTTTTTTTTTTCTTTTTAAGACAATAGACCTTCAAATAGAATAGTTTAAATAAAGCATTACAAAAATTAATTACTTCTGCTTGAGAGGGACCTCTGGTGGGTCATCTAGTCCATCCCTTTAATAGTTGCTGGATTGATTTCCTTATCTGTAAACTGTCTGTATTGAATTGATGCCAGTGTAACTGCAAAATATGTGTAGTAAGTTATTATTATATCTTTCTTTACAGGAACTAAAAGAAAATGGAGAATTGTTACTCATTCTGAAGGGAGAAAATTAATGCAAATGGACACGAATGCTAATGATAGGAGCTGAAATATTGCAAAAAATGATTTGTTTATGGATTGAATTGGAACAATACATGATTTACCCTGGGTAAATGGAGCAGGAGTAAAGCTTTTGGCTTGCCCTATATATTTCACAATTTCATGCTAGATCTATATGTAAAATTAGTTTTTCACCCATAATGCAAAACTGTATTTATGTCTTCAAATTCAATTAAAATGGAATGTTAAAAAGTTTGTTTTTCATTACATTATTGTAAATATCAGTCTGTTGATTGTATCTAGACAGTTAACAGTATTGTAGTGCAAGTCCCCATTCCACTTTCCATCTAAACTAAAACACGTCAGCTTTATGGGCTACAGTTCTTACTAGAAACCTAAATAGGACTGCCTCCATGGCACAGAGCATGACGATTTTCAGTGCGTCTGTTAATAATTGTTCTTAATGTTCAGCAAGCAGAAAAATTAGTATGGAAACCTTAATCTGGAATACTACAATTAAATCATTATTAATGAGTTTCAGATGTGTAACACATATCCATTTTCTGCGTAGTTTACAGTAATTGTTTGTTGACTTCAGGTGATATTCAGCCTATTTAAATGTGACCTTTTTCCATTGGACATATTTAAATTAAGATGGAGATGATTCAATAAATCCCAAACCTTGGCCATTCTTTTGTACCTTCAGTGTTGCTGTTAGAAGGAAATAAAATAGGTATTTACTTCCTGGGAGATGAATATTCAAAAGTTGTTTTTTTTCCCCCCCTGGGGTCCTCTATCTCAGTACTCAGAGGACATGGTTTTTCTTCTTGTTTTTATCCTTCAAAGACCCATTGTCTTCATCCTCTCTACCTCTGTTATTCAGTCTGAATGGGGGAAAGAAGCTTAGGAAGCTAAACCACATGCCTAGCTTTTCCACAGAACATCAGTAGTGTGTAGTGTACACAAACAATACAGGAACTGTTACTGTTGGAAATAGAAGTTAATTCTGTCCATTTCTTGAAACAGTATAGTACAGGCAATGCAAGGCTCTCTGCATCTGCCTCACTGCTGACTTGGAGGGCATCACTTCTTGAAGTCCAAGAACATTCAGTCTCCATATAACTCAGTCCTTGACTTCTTTACTTAGACTAATGAGGTTGCTCACCATGGCTGTGCACTTCTCATGATTGTCTAGGTTTTGGAATTGAGACCACTTACATTCATTTCACATAAGCTACTGAGAAACTGTCAAATGGTAACCAAAAAAAAAGTGGTCACAGCTGCATCTTTTTGACGGTCCTAGTTCTCCAAGTGTTAGAAGTTCTTCTGAACATGCCTACTGGGTGGAGCTCTTTTGTGGATTTCAGCAGAATAGCACTTAATCTTGAGTCGGTTTAGGTGAGAGAAGGGCTGAGTATGCGTATAGAAACAGAACTCACCAGGAAGATGTCTAAATTCATTTGGTATTTCTAGGGTTTGGTGGTAGGTAAGTATGTGCTTTTAAGATTTAGTTTCCTAAATTCTATCAAAGTCCATCTTTAGGCACCTGTACCCCTTATTACATCCATCCCTAAGCCATTTGACAGCCCTTTAGGTTTCACTGTATTTTGTGTCAGAATTAAAAGAAAGTATATATACACATAAAAATCCTTAAACAGATTGCTTTTTAATCTCTTCAAGTATTAATAGTATGGGAATAATTTTGGCAATTTCTTTGAAAATAGTTACATTTTTATAACTGAAAGATCAATTTTAATCTCATTACAGAAAATCATGTCCATGTCATGAAAACAATTTTTAATTAATCTTTCAAAATGATTTGCAATATATTCCAGGCATTTGTCAGTAATAATCGTTGCCTACCTCATTAAACAATATTATGCCAAAAAATACACCATCCCAGTGGTCAAATTAGGAATTGGAACCTTTAATTAAATGAAGATTAAATATAAATTGTTTTTCTCTACAATATATATTTCATAACTGCAAAATTTTATTCAAAATTCAGTGGAGTAAAATGTGCCTAAACCTTCTCACACTAATCTGCACAAAATACAGTGGATTGACAACTTTTTTGTGAGGCCTGACTAAACTAATCTTGCTTTGAAGTTTTAAATGTTAAAAGAGTTCATTTGTTCAAAATATACTACCTTGTTTTACTAGTATAAGATGCATCACTGAACTAAAATTTTGATTAGTTCATTTTGTGTTTCATTCAATTTATGTATTGTTCACTTAATTTCTCATGCACACAATTCAAAGGCTGTTTCCAGCACTGGTGCAAATTAGCAAAGTTCTACTGTTTTTGATAATCCTTATCTTGCGCTGAATTTTGGTGAGTTCCATAGATTAGTCTTCAGTACCTTTTGCTGATGAAATAGATTTTCTGGGAACAAACTTCTCCAAGTAGTTCATAGCAGAAAGTGTAAATGCTCTGTTTCTAAATATGTAATTTGGATATGGTTGATTTAAATCCTCTAAGTCAAATTGGACCTTATATTGTATAGATGGCTATATTTTGATTTTATTTAGGGTGGCAACATTGACAAGTCTGGACTTGTGAAGAAAAGTACTATATGCTGGTTCCTACAAGTGAGAACTTTTTAACCAGGAGGATTTAGGAAAACGAGGGAAAAATAATGCACCTATTTATATATACTTGTAGTTTAAAATAAAAAGTTATTATCTGTATTCCAATATATACTTTTTTGCTGCTCCAACTTCTACTGATAATAAACTCAACCCTATGTGCATCTTATAAATTGCACTTACATAGTTTTAAAAGCTTGTATTTATTTGTGATAGTTTTTCTGACTCTCTTCATATAGTTTAGGACAGGTTTTTTTGTGTGGACAGGAAGAAGAAATTTGACCATCATTACCTTATTACCTAAAAGCTCAGTTTGCCATTGAAACGCCATCACGTTTAGCTTACTTCTTCTACAGCCATGATTGTTGATATAGAAGTAGCTGTTTCTCATAATCAGGAGCCTCAGCAGGAGCATGGTGTGCGTATAAAGTTCTGACATTCATTCCCCAGACATCTGACAGTGCTATCTGTTGGTGGAGGCTGCCTCTTTGTGGTGGAACACTGTAAACTGTGCAAATACATTTGGCCTGTAATCCCTGGGTGGGTAAGAGGAGGAAATCCCCATAAATATTTGAAGCAAGCATGAAAGGAGATTTTGTCAAATGGTTAAAATCTTCCTTGAAAAAAGTGATTCCACATGAGGAGACTAGCACAGGTTCTGCCTTTAAATGAAAGCCTGTTGGGAATAAAATGCTGTACCCTGAGAGTGCTTCTACTAAAAGCTTAGACTGTTTATCAAATAAAAAAGGCAATGCTCGTGCATTTACACATCTTTCAACACAGAAGGCTCTGGCTGCAGTGACCAAGTTACAAGAAACAGGTAGGAAATACTGGAAAAACATGCTAATTAAAACCTACACCTTTGATTATCTAATCTGGACTTCCCTATGTGCCCTTACATACATAATTATTTGTGAAAGTTAATAAATTTGTTTTGTCACGCGTTTTCAAATTTGCTTAAATTGGCTTCTGAGTGGACAAAGCTGTTTGACCTTTTGTAGACTGTTCCCTTGCTGACAATGAATTCAACCTTGATAATTTATGCTGCAGTGTTAAAGCTGTCTTGCTAAACAAGGTGTAAGGCCTAGTTACCACCGAGGTGATATCCATCTAAAGGAAACTTAACTTCTGCACAAAGAGCCCAAAGCTCCTAGAGGTGTCATCTTCCTGATGCAGTTTTTAGTGAGGTCTTGAAGGTTTATGGCTTTTAAAGATGTTTCACAAGAAGAGAGTTTGATAATGTGTCCAAAACTTTAATGTTAATGATGCAGTACAGTGCAGTGTTAAACGGTAGCTGTGTTGCACTCAATAGGATGGCTAAAATGAATATTCTGCTTTACAGTGTCTGTTGTTGCTGCTACTGCTTATCCTGCTGCAGCGGTAATGGATCACAGTACAAGTTTGCTAGTATACATCAGCTTTTAAAAATAGATAACGTCAGTGATTTCCAGGCATTTTCTGTACGTTTGTATAGGAAAAACCTTGGGACTACTGAAAAGCACTGACATTATCAAAACTCTTTTAATGGCAACTGATGTATAGATTTTAATACAGCTTTTGAATTTGCAGGAAATGTCTGTGCGATGTTGCACTGTGCTTGGGATTCTATGGAAATACCCTGCTCTGCTTGCAATGAAAAATGGGCACACACCTGAAACCCATGAGCAAAAAATCAGCTACTTGACTCTTCTTTGCATGTGGCATGGGAATGGGCACCGCATACTTACAATAGCAGTGTTCCCAAGAAGCACAGTATAGACATAACTATGCACTGGCAGATTAAAAATAACAAAAACACTCACCAATTTCTGTGGAAAAGAATATCAAAGGTCTTTCAGTGTTATGTACCAAAAAGCAGGACATTACAAATATGATGATGCAAGTCAGCCTTTTCTGTTGAGGATTTATTCTGCATGTAGTAGGTCATTTGCAAGACATGAAACCTTTCTAATTCTGTCAGTTTTAGTAATAATAATTTAGTAGGAATTATAATACTGGTGTCCTTTGACCTCCGTATCTCTGTTAGATACATGGGGACAGATAAAGGTTTTAACAAAGATATCTCATCTTTTACAGGGAACTAAAAATTGGTATTTATCAGAAAAACAACTCTTTCAGTGAAAGTTGACTTCAAGTTCAAGGCCTATCATTTAGCTTGACAAATGAGGTAGTGAAGAGTGGAATTTATGCATGAGAGGTATGATGCCAGTGTAGCTGCAGTCTACAGGAAACTGATTGCAGTAACCCCATCTTAATTTTTCTAAATTCAGTTGATTCCTTAGAAACAATTATTTTAAAAAAACTCTAAAATTTAGTTAAGTTTTATATAATCTCTGTAGCTGTCTAGATATAGATACAACTCATCACAACTGTATAAAAAAGCAATACTATAAAAAGTACGTGAAAGCATCTGACTGGCATCTAGCATTAAATAAAGAGCAGTACATTTAAGCCCATAAATTCAGTGAAATATTAAATATTAATCCTAAACATATCAATGGTATGTACGAAGGTCTGTAAATGCCAGAGCTATGTTACAATCTTCATTCTATTGAGGTTGCTTGTACTATTGCAAACCATTTCCCCGCCACCCCCCACATAGAATTTTTTGGAATATGGGATGGCTAGCTAAAAAAAATTCACAGTGTGAACATATAATTTCA